TCTTTGCTGCAATCGCACTTTAAAAATACAAAACGCATACTACTCGCCGTAGCTGCTTGTCCAATCTTTTTTAAATAAATTAAGTTAAAAGTTTCATGAAGATTATACTTATATACTTGGAGACATAGCTACATATCACTGTAATAATTTTATGGTGCTTATACTCATTCGAGATCGTCCGAAGAGTAGTAGACGAGTGTTCATTAATGCCTAGAATCTGCTAAATTGCATGTTATTTTGACGAGATTCTATTTTTATTTAAGAAGAAACCTGCACACTTGACACTATCAACAATTGTTACTTATAGACGTTCATTTTCCGACGTAACTATCCTTGCTAGGTGTGTTGAAATGATAGACTGTTATCTACCTCTAACTCAACATTCTATCTTGCCACCTGGTTAGGTTTGGCGACCTATCTATCTTTCATTCTAGTTATCTATCTATTTGTCTCTCCATAATAGTATTTCGAGATAATATAATCTCTTACCGTTAGCTGACAGTCTGGTCACATTCTCACGGGCGGTTCTGTCATCCAAATAATAAAGCCTGGACACACATATCCGTAGTTTTTTTCTGCGCGTTTAGCGAGATTATCAGCCACGGTTATGACTCGCTAAAGGTCTTGCCAAACTTTAAACGATGGTGACTACAAAAGCATAAACAATAGCAACTCTGCATTTAATGAAATTTTGCATTATTAATAACACTCACTATTATATCGCCTCGTTAATACGACAACATGATACCTATGTGAACTATTAATTGACATATGCTAAATGCGCTTTGTCATACGACTGTGTACGTCCAAGCTGACGCTCTCTTGTTAAAAATAGTATCGTTTCTGATAAATAACAAGAGTAGAATATAACATTATGTTGAAACTATTAGTCTGATATTTCAATCTTATTTTCAGATTGCTATGTACTTCGCTGGATTCTTTAGATGTGGAGGCTCCATTATTGGCCCAAACACCATTCTGACTGCTGCGCACTGCGTCTCTGGGCGAGTGTTGTTTATTGCATATGTTCCATGTTCTTATATTCACGCAGACGCACATTCACGCAACCCCTAGAAAATTTGAAGTCAATCATATTTGTCATGATTAATTAGTTTTCGATATATCGCTGAATTTCTACGGTTGGCTTAATTAAAATATTATTTGCTAAACCATTGAATAGATATGCCGATTTTATTGATTGTGTGACTCGATGAATTGCAGATTGGAGAACTACGCCAGTTACTTCTCTATCAAATATGGTGTCACCGATATTACAAGTAATGGAAATACGGCAGGAGTAAGTAATGAACATACGCTGGTACCCAGTGTAAATTATATCGCTGCAGATGACGTGTGATTTCGTTCATAGTTTGCCATGGTTATAATCGGATGCAATCTTGCTCTGAACAAAGAGTTCTCTGTGTAAGCAGCACGTCTACTTCAGAACTTAACATGAAAACCCACGACTATTTCCCTCAGTAATATATAATGCAATAAGCAAACGTTAATTTTTTAATGTTCGTAATATTATATCTATCCTAAATCCTTTGTATTTTTATTTGAAAACGGGGAGCGTACTTATATAGGATTACTTATATAAATTATATAAATAGGTGAGCAAGATTTCTGTCCACGATCTTATATGCGTAGCTGCTTGTCCAATCTTTTTTAAATGAAGTAAGTTCAACGTTTCATGAAGATTATACTTATATACTTGGAGACATAGCTACATATCACTGTAATAATTTTATGGTACTTATACTCATTCAAGATCGTCCGAGGAGCAGTAGACGAGTGTTAATTAATGCCTAGAATCTGCTAAATTGCATGTTATTTTGTCGAGATTCTATTTTTATTTTAGAAGGAACCTGAACACTTGACACTATCAAGAATTGTTACCTATAGACGTTTATTTTCCGACGTAACTATCCTTGCTAAGTGTCTTGAAATGATATACTGTTATCTACCTCTAACTCAACATTCTATCTTGCCACCTGGTTAGGTTTGACGACCTATCTATCCTTCATTCTAGTTATCTATGTATTTGTCTTTCCATAATAGTGTTCGAGACGATATAATCTCTTGCCGTTAGCTGACAGTCTGGTCACATTCTCACGGGCGGTTCTGTCATCCAAATAATAAAGCCTGGACACACATATCTGTATTTTTTTTTATGCGCGTTTAGAAAGCTTATCAGCCCCGGTTATGACTCCATAAATGTATTGTCAAACTTTAAACAATTGTGACTACCAGGGCCGTAGCTAAGAATTAATGTATGGGGGGGGGCGCAATATGAACGAGCGCCTGAGGCGCTCGCTTCTAGGGGGGTCTGTGGGCATGCCCCCCCAAAAAAACTTTGAAATATAGAAGCTCTGAAATGCCATTTCCAGCCATTTCAGGTAGGTAACATACCTAAAACTCCCCAAACGGTTACGCGAGTATATTCTAATCTTAAGTTCCCATTTTTCTTCACTGGGTTCTTTTTTGGCGGGAGGCAGCTGCCCCCCCCTAGCCCCCCCCCCCACCCCTGCTAGCTACCGGACCTGACTACAAAAGCATAAATTATTAAGCAATTCTGCATTTAATGAAATCTGCATTATTAATAACACTAACTACTTATATTGCTCGTTAATACGACAACATGATACTTAAGTTGAGGAATACATTAATACTAACAGGTGTTCATATTATCAGTACACAAACAAGGAAATCGTGATGCAGTCGAAGTTAAAGCAATAGTGAGATAAGATGTAGATAATAAAGGTGTATATAAGCTCGTAACAAGACAGCGTAGGCACTCGAGTTAGAGCACCAAAACCAACCAATGAAGCTTCTAGTTCTGCTAGCCGTCGTGTGCGCATGCCAGCGCCCATGCCCCGAGGTGGCCACGACTTCCAATAGGTATGTCTCGTGTTATAACTAACAGTTTAGGTTTGTGCCTAACCGTTACTAAACTCATGAGTTTTCATTGCCTAGCTCATAGCTTAATAATAAACAAACGTTCAAAGATTCCGAAAGCAATGTGACCTGGCTCTTGTCTTAAGGATG